GCAAAGCACGTCGTGGGAACCGTTCTCGCGTAAGCGTACGCGTAATGTTGGTCCGGGTCGTCTCGTCCAACAATGCCGCCAAACCAAAGTATGACATGCTGGTAGGCAGTATGACTTGTATCGCCCACAACTCACTTGTGTTCTACTCGTGCATATAACATCAAACCATAAAACCTAGGCTCGGATGCCACTGTTGGGGAACGCAGTAATTTCAAAAAAATTCCTACACACACGCAAGATCATGGTGATGCATAGCAACGAGAGGGGAGAGTGTTGTCTACGTACCCACGCAGACCGACTGCGGAAGCGTTGACGCAACGTAGATGAAGTAGTCGTACGTCTTCCCGATCCGACCGATCCAAACACCGTTACTCCGGCACCTCCGAGTTCTTAGCACATGTACATCTCGATGACGATCCCCGGGCTCCGATCCAGCAAAGCGTCGGGGAGGAGTTCCATCAGCACAACGGCATGGTGACGATCTTGATGTTCTACCATCGCAGGGCTTCGCCTAAGCACCGCTACAATATGATCGAGGTGGAATATGGTGGCAGGGGGCACCGCACACGGCTAAGGAACGATCTCAAGGATCAACTTGTGTGTCTAGGGGTGCCCCTGCCTCCGTATATAAAGGATCCAAGGGGAGGGGCTGGCCGGCCAAGGGGGGCGCGCCAGGAGAGTCCTACTCCCTCTGGGAGTAGGATCCCCCCCCAATCCTAGTTGGAATAGGACTCCTTGAGGGAGGGAAAGGGAGAGAGGGGGGCCGGCCACCTCTCCTAGTCCTAATAGGACTAGGGGAGGGGGGAGGCGTGCGGCCACCTTGGGCTGCCCCTTTCTCCTTTCCACTAAAGCCCACTAAGGCCCATATAGCTCCCGGGGGGTTCCGGTAACCTCCCGGTACTCCAGTAAAATCTTGATTTCACCCGGAACACTTCCGATATCCAAACACAGGCTTCCAATATATTAATCTTTATCTCTCGACCATTTCGAGACTCCTCGTCATGTCCATGATCACATCCGGGACTCCGAACTAACTTCGGTACATCAAAATGCATAAACTCATAATAACTGTCATCGTAACGTTAAGCGTGTGGACCCTACGGTTCGAGAACAATGCAGACATGACTGAGACACATCTCCGGTCAATAACCAATAGCGGGACCTGGATGCCCATATTGGCTCCTACATATTCTACGAAGATCTTTATCGGTCAGACCGCATAACAACATACGTTGTTCCCTTTGTCATCGGTATGTTACTTGCCCGAGATTCGATCGTCGGTATCCAATACCTAGTTCAATCTCGTTACCGGCAAGTCTCTTTACTCGTTCCGTAATACATCATCTCACAACTAACATATTAGTTGTAATGCTTGCAAGGCTTATGTGATGTGCATTACCGAGAGGGCCCAGAGATACCTCTCCAACAATCGGAGTGACAAATCCTAATCTCGAAATACGCCAACCCAACATGTACCTTTGGAGACACCTGTAATGCTCCTTTATAATCACCTAGTTACGTTGTGACGTTTGGTAGCACCCAAAGTGTTCCTCCGACAAACGGGAGTTGCATAATCTCATAGTCATAGGAACATGTATAAGTCATGAAGAAAGCAATAGCAACATACTAAACGATCGGGTGCTAAGCTAATGGAATGGGTCATGTCAATCAGATCATTCAACTAATGATGTGACCTCATTAATCAAATAACAACACTTTGTCCATGGTTAGGAAACATAACCATCTTTGATTAACGAGCTAGTCAAGTAGAGGCATACTAGTGACACTCTGTTTGTCTATGTATTCACACATGTATTATGTTTCCGGTTAATACAATTCTAGCATGAATAATAAACATTTATCATGATATAAGGAAATAAATAATAACTTTATTATTGCCTCTAGGGCATATTTCCTTCACCAACATAGATAGTTCTTGATCTGGCATAAGAAGTAAGAATTCAAGTAAAGCCTGTCCAGCACGATCAATAGCACAAGCTTTATTAATCACCTTGTACATCCCCAACTTATCCCAAACCTGTTTCGCCTCCTGACAAAGAAACAACACATGTTTTTTATCTTCTAGCCCATTCGAGCATTATGGCAGATGGGCAAAACTTTCATGTGTCTATTTGTAAGCATAACATAGCACGGGAGGGTTCCATGCAATGTACACCAAATGATTTTTTTACCTTTGTCGGACAAGATAATTTTCAAATCTTACACCAAATAGGCTTGCCATTGATTCTACCCATACCATTTGTATATTGCAATTTACTCCATGTTGTTTGGTTCCATTCCTCCAAATAAGCAGATCGAACACTGAACAAACCATTTTTGGTATAGCTCCAAGCAATGAAATCCGACATATTATGCATAGGGAGGGGAATCACGAGAAGCCTTGAGCATCAATTGGCCACAATGTTTGTGTCACCAAATCTTCATCCCAAAAATTCATGACTTTATCAATAAGATCAGAAACCTTAGACAAAAGATGCCCTCTTCTAGGAGTAATAAGTTTCCTATTCGCACAATTTCGGGATCCATGCATCTCTCCAAATATCGATAGTTTGTCCATTTATAACCGGCGAGATATAACCATTTTTCAGAGAGTTAACACCAGCCATAATGCTTTGCCTACTAAAAGTGGAGCCCTTTTTTAAACTTGCATTCATCAAATCGCCCTCGGGGACTCCGACTGAACTTCCTACGAAGTGCTCCAAACTTTCGATCGGAGGTGATACTAATTACATCTCGAGTCGATATCCCTTGGGATCCGGGTGGACAAACGGAGCATCAAATCCTATCTACATGGCTATAAAGAAAGCGCTGCCTGGGAGGCCACTCGGATGCCAGTAGACGTCTTTCTTAATTTTATGTCTTTGAGTTTAGTCGCATCCATGATTGCATTGACACCTTTTATTTTTGCACTAGTTGGCATTAGTCTATTTGATATGGTTTTGGACTAACCTTCAAAGCTAAAATTTCAACGTATCGGTTGTCTCTCGATTATGCTGCACACTTCCTTGTAGTTTTGTTGCAAATATATCATCTACTTGACATGAGGAGGAAGCACAATTGTTTTCATGAAGTTCTTGAGCTTCAGAAGGGAAGATGTGGTGCAAAACGACCACATGAGGTCGTACCAAAGGAGGTCGCGCAAAGATCAACCCTTGTAGAAGAGAAGACATGATGCGGTATGCACATTCTAGCTCGTACCAAAGGATGCTACACAAAGAGCAACCCTTCACATAAGAGAAGACGGGATGCAATACGAGCATCCACGCTCGTACCCGTGCTCGCATCAGAACTCAGCCGCGCAACCCAAACTTACCAAGAGAGAAGACGGTGTGCGGTACGAACATCGTTGCTCGTACCCTCGCTCGAATCGGAGGGCGACACTGAGCATCCCGAGTCCAGAACAGAAGGGGATGCAGATTACGACTGTAGCCGGTCGTACCGATGATAAGCTCATCATTTTATTTATTCCGACCATACGAGGTTAGTGGGTTACTTTTGACCGATCGTTTGCACTTTAATTTTCATTAATTACATTTGAAGCTCCTTAACCTATAATTCGTTGTAGTATATGTATTTCCTTTTATTATCTTTACTTTATTGTATATACAATGTTAGTATACTAGTATTTTGATGTGTGCGATATTTAGACCTTATGTGGTAATATACATTGTATGATCGATGCCAACTGTATAAAAATCTGCATAAGGCATTCGGTTGCTTCAAATCAAGAAACCTAACCACAAGTGCTGATGAAAATTATTGGGAGGGTCCCTCCTTCGTCCGCCCCTGCAAACAACACAAAGCATATAAAACGAATTGCAAATGTGCAAAAGAAAAGAGATGGCAGATGCATCTATTCAACACCGGGCTCAAATGAGCCTGAGTGTGAATAGTAAATCCATTTTAAATAGCAAAAAGTTTAAAAAAAATCCAAATTATTTGATGTTGCAAGATGTTCATGTGCGTGATGCCCGTGCCAAAGGACATCCCAGGAGCCCGTTGCAAAAAAAAGAAGATATTTTTCGGATGTCTGGGAAATTTTGAAAACATCACTATTCATACCCAAAATTATCTTTTTTGCCACAAGCACCTCGAATGTCCAAACACTCCAAAACTCAAAAACATCACACATTTGAGCATCTTGCATAAAAAACAATACAGTTTCTTTTATTTTTTCTACTATTTTTAATTTTAGTGTTCACCGGATGTATATAAGTCCCAGAACCGAATTAAATTATGATGGAGAAATGACTCCTTCCCCCTGCTGTCCCGCGCGAGACACGCCTACATGAGCACAGAGGCACCGGTACAAGGAGGCATGCAGCATGGCGTCCATGCATGCGGCTAGATGACGCGTACCCTTGAGCGGTTCAGCCTGCTCGTCCTCTTCCTCTCCAAGGGAAACAAAAAATGTCCACGTGCATCGAACCGGACAATAGGCCAGCCCACCTGCCGATGCCATCACGTTTCATGCAGCGGGGGAATATTTTACGGGGACACGGCAAATTTCGCATCTAACCCACCGGTAGCCGAGAATTACAACCTCGAACAGGGAAAACCCTTGCAAGCCGGATATTTCGAAGAAGAATCATGCAGACAAACCTTTTCATCTTTTGACAAAAGAACCACAATGAAGCATCAAATCGTTGAAGATGGCCACAAGAAGTTTACTATACACACAGAAAAATCGACCAAGGCCCAGAACAAGAAGCCGTGTTTCACTTTTCTTCATCGGAACAACACCCGAAATAATGCCGAAAATATTGACCGTAGAGAAAAATACACGGTAGGGGCCTACATCGAAATTGAGCAAATCTCAGTGCACTTATCCGCAAAAGCCCCGAGTCGCGTTAATCCAAAGCGGTTCATAAGAAACGCACACCCACCTCCCCTGTTTCTCCAGCTTCGAGGTTTTCCGGCGTGAGGAAGGAAGGAAGGCAGCGAGAGCAGGGCGCGGGAGACTGCGAGAGGCTGCCGCCATGGAGAACGAGTTCCAGGTACGGGGGTCCCAGTCCTATTTCGAGCTCGCGTTTCTGCCCTAGGATTTAGAGGGGTCGCTGCGTCTAGAAAAGAGGAAGATTCCTTCGTTTCGGGGCGCGATTCGTCAAGGTTTTCCTTGATTTTGATCGGCTCGGTACAAGGGTTTGGGTAGGAATAGGCGATTGAAGCGTATGTATAGTCGAGCGAAAAGAAGATGGGACTGGGATTTCCTCATTCCAGAGATTGGGGGTCAGCAGATTTTAGGATGGAGACCATACATGTGAATCTTCAGATTACTAGATTAGATGTGTGCTCTTCAATTAATCTATTTTCCGGGTTAGATTCAAAACTGGGAGATTCAGATGTGTAGCATGAGTTGCTCATCAGTCTTCCTTCCCCTGTTGGAGTATACCAGTACCCACAGATCACGGATGGACATATTGAGATGGAAAAACCTTCAGTAATGTGAACGTAAAGCTTTTAGTAGAGCTGCTTTAAATAGTCATACTTCTCATGGCATGAAATTGGCATTGATGTTATTAGTCCTTGTTTATTAGAGAGTTCTGCACTAGCACTTTCACATACAAATATTTCCACCCTTCTTCTGGTGATAATAGTTAGTAAGTAGAAAAGGCCTCTTCAAACTTGCTGGCACTTGGGTGCTTGATGTAGTCTCATACAACAACTGTATGAATACTGGTTTAGCCATTTCCCCTTACATCCACTTGTTGTAGAGTTGTTGTTCCAGGGGCTGGATGAAGGTTGTCAAATGTCAATCTGTCTATTGCGTTGTAAATTATGTTGATTTTGCAACCAAGTAGGCTGTTGTTACGAGAAATTCCATTAAATGCTGAGGCTGCGGCTACCAGAAGAGAAGCAGTAAATCACATAATCTGTAAGAATGTAGACCTGTACCACACGCCAAATCCTCTGTATCTATCTATGTGTTATCCCTCCCCCACCCTCACCCCCACCCAAATGGCAAGGCTGTTTTACAGGAGTAAAAATTTATGATCTGTAGACATCTGCAGCTAGGTGTACTGAAGGAAGGTCCATGTAAACCATTGTAGATTTTTACAGCTAATTCATGTTATAATTAACTTCCTGCATAATTATAATACAATATCTTTGCATGGCCATTGCTTACTTAGGATGGCAAGGAGGAGGTCATCCAAGCATGGTACATGGATGACAGTGAAGAGGATCAGAGGCTTCCTCACCACCGTGAGCCCAAAGAGTTCATTCCTCTTGCCAAACTTTCAGGTCTGTGCATTCGCTGCTCAAATAATTTGCTCTAGTAGTATAGTTTGTTTTTGAACTGTAGTAAAACTAGTGCTGGTAAACCTGCTGGATGCTAAAAATTGTGCATATTTTCAATGCTCAGAATTAGGTGTTGTAAGCTGGAACCTAAATGCTGATAACTGGGAGAAAGACGAGAATCTCAAGAAAATCCGTGAGGCCAGGGGATACTCCTATGTGGTTTGTCATTGATCCCTTTTTGGCTACTTACTGTTCTGTGTTTCCATTTTGGTTGTCAAAGCTTAAAATGTATGCAAGTAGTAGAAGCAATCAAATGTGACAGACATGTTCTGTTTTTCCTCTTGCAGGACATCTGCGACGTATGTCCTGAGAAATTGCCAAACTATGAGGCCAAGCTGAAGAATTTCTTTGAAGAGCACTTGCATACTGATGAGGAGATACGCTATTGTCTTGAGGGCAGTGGTACGCCTTCTTTATCTTTTTTGGGGCATTTTGGATGAGAAAGCTATAAAGTGTTTTATTTCCAGTAATAATCATGGTGGCATTGTTTTTTTTAACCTGCTTTACCTATTTGTTTTCTTATCTTGTCCAGGATACTTTGATGTGAGGGACCAAAATGAACAGTGGATCCGTATAGCAGTTAAGAAAGGTGGCATGATTGTTTTGCCTGCAGGAATGTATCACCGCTTTACATTGGATAGTGACAACTACATCAAGGTATTTTAACTTTCTGCTTTTGCTCCCACCATGAAGTGTTGGTCTCCTTAAAACTTGCATATACTAAATGAACTAAAATGACTGAAGTCCTTATTCTTTTGTCAAGTTGCGTGTAATTTACTTTTGTGAATGAATTGGTAATAGATTTCAATAATTTGAATTCGACAACAGTGTTACTTATCTTTAGTCTCACTGCACGTAATTCTAAATACGTAGTTTTCTTTTTAGTTTTTACAACAACATTTACTGCTGTGTCTTGTACCATCTCTGTGAAGTTAACTACCAGCGGAGTCCTTTCATTGATCATATATTCATATCATAAAGATCTTTCCCTTTTCCGTACTCCACCCAATAAGGAACATCATTCTAATATGGACCTCTGAAACTTATGTTTTTCTTACTATGTTGTGCAGGCAATGCGGCTCTTTGTGGGAGAGCCTATCTGGACGCCTTACAATCGTCCCCATGACCATCTCCCAGCTAGGTACTTTCCAGAGTCTTCACTTCTCTTCTTTGCGTTCATTACTCCATTTCCCTTATAACCTCCCACTATTCTCCCTTGCTCTTACCTGATGTGACTGCACATGATTTCAGAAAGGAGTATGTCGACAAGATTATCAACAGAGGTGGGAACCAAACCGTCGAAGCTCGTTGATGGCTCCTACAGTGTTCGGCAGCGAGTGAGTCTTCTGTATGTATCTACATATCACACCAAAAGGTTACCGAATAAGATGTGTGATTGGCTTTCGCCGTGTACCCATACCAGCATCGATCCTGTATCACTTGTGTGGTAGTTTGCACAAAACCTGCTTGAAAATGTTTCATGGAAACTTCTTTGCCTGGCGATGATGCCTGTATTGAATAATAAATGATTCAGTGTCAACAACGGCGTAATGAAAACGGATTCATGTCCATCCAAATCCCTGAGAAATGTTGCGCAATTATTGCTGAAAGCTATACTTGTGTTCTTGATCAATCCCCCTACCAGATCTTGCGTTAATACCTTTCCTGCTTCACATGGCTGACCTTGTCCCGTCGTATTCAGAGAGACGACTAAATCTTGGCAAATTGTACTGTGATTGCCAAGTTTGTTTGTCCGCAATTCTGTGAACACTCGTACTGTTACTGTGGTTGTACGGAGAAGGGAAGCTGCTAGAGCAAATTGTACTGTCAGTTGTACTATGAGTATGACTGAACATGTTCCTGTCCATTTCTAGAGCCGACTTCCGGCACTGGTTTCCGGTCCCCTCCGTCAAGAACAGTTCCCAAGCATACTCCCATGAACTATCATCATCATGTCTCTTGAGGCTGTTTGGTTTGGTGCCAATATTTGGCATGCCAGTGTGTTGACCAAGTCTAAAAAATTTAGCTATCAATTCGTCGGCTACCAAATTTTCTCGCCAATCTCTAGAAAAGTCGCCAACTTTTACCAATTTTTGGCTTGCCAAAATGGCAAATACCGGCATGAAATCAAGTAGCCTCGTAAGAGCATCCCCAAGAGATGTCAAAAACAGCCGTGGTGCCCAAAAAACTTCATTTGGGCATGAAAGAAGAAAAAAACCAGCTCCAGCGGATGCCTATACGGTGATGTGGTTTAAGAAGAAGTTAGAGATTCCTAATAATGAAGGGTTTCTATTTAGATATAGTAAATTGGCTATCTATTTTTCTTGCCAATCTCTCGAAAAGTTGCCAACTTTTACAAATTGTTAGCTTGCCAAAATACATGTCCATGAACATCCGGTCGGACGGGCATCATCCAATCATATCCCTCAAATAAGACGACATGGAGACATCCAACTATATTTCTCAAAATAAGACGGACATAGAGGCATCTGGCCGGGCGGATACTATCCAAACCCATCAGAGCCCATTGACGTGTGCCTCTTTGGTATTGTCATCATGCTCCTCCTCGGCCCCGGCCTTGAGCTCCTCGAAGAGCTGCCGTGCTTCATTGATCCGGAGCTCGCGGCGCTCACGATCGACAATGTGGATGCTCTTCACGACGTGTACACCGTCCTGCTTCATGTCAACGTGCTCCAGGTTCCTACGGTAGCGTCGCAACAGCGGTGGCATCCCTGCGCTCCGCCTCTAGGTGTGCCATTGCCATTTGCGTTTGGGTGAGGAGAGGACGGGGTCTGAAATAGGATGACTAAGGCGGATTGTGAAAATGCACAGGCTCCAAGTAAGTTTTCGGTGTGTACGGAGTGTCGGACGCCAACGGCGGACGTCTGGACTACTGTGGAGAGCTGCCCCGGTTTGTCGCCGGCCTAAGGAGCTTCAGACGTCCGGCCAAAATGAGGGTCTTAATTAGGACTAAAAGTGTCCAGACCGTTCAATCCAGACACACAGGGGCAATCTGGTGGGATCCGGCTCCCTCTCTCCCCATGCTTTCATCCGTGCTCTCACTTAATCCTATGGCTGTCATTTTTCCTTTTTTCTTTCTAATTTAATCATCTCCTCCCTGATTTTAAAGGGGTGGGGCCGGGTTTTATTTTGTTCCAATCAAATCAAGCCATATACACGAGAGCACGGATGGACACAAGCCGGAGGGAGCAGGCAAGTCTTGTCCAATCTGATGAGCCGGGTTGAAGATGCCGTGATGACAGTATACAAAATGAATTATGAAAGTGATATTTGAGAGAAAATTCCTTATTTGACACTATCTTAAAATCTGCTTCCTTATTTGACATTGAATTTTTTCCCTATTTGACACAAATTCTAAATTTTATTCCCTATATGACATTTTCGTTCATTTTGAGCCTAAATGACACCTGAAAAGACTCTTTTGCCCCCTCATGTGATATGTGTGTGGGAGGCAATAGCGCACACACACAGCACCGGTGCAAGGACAGGAGCACACACACATCAACACATACACATGCACGCGCACACACACGCAACAACACGCACGCGAACGTGCACACACACACACGCACACACACACGCAGCAACACACATGCACACGCACACACATGCAGCAACACACACGCACGCAGCACACACACACACGCA